ATGTATATACATATATACATTATTTGTATGATCTATTTATGAAAAATTTCTTAAGAAACTTTACAGGTAGTGAATGAAATTAACTACGGTCCTTTACTGATCTTTTCATTTTAACTACTGTGCTTAATGACCAATAAACCTGAAAAAATTATGAATATGGATGCAGATAAAGCATTTTTAGATGCTTTCATCGAATGATAACAAAAGTAATCTCTGTTTGTGGGATGTCCAAAGCTGTGAATATAAAGAACGCAAAAAAAAACGCGGCATATATAAAATATACAAAATTATAATCAATTATAATCAATTATAAGCAAAGCGCAACCTATACGTTAACTATCAATTTTTTCAATTTTAAAATTTTATTTTAAACACACAAATTTTCACAGCACTACCCGCAAAAGCACTCTTCAAAAATTTTGCCTACTCTTGTGTGTCATACCTGTTCAAATTCGGTCGCTAGAAGAAATTTGAGCAAGAGAGAGCGCAACTCGTATGACACACCAGTATGATAGTCTGCACCCCACTTTAGTGTGGACTCAGTCCACTAAGTTACTTTGAGCTATTAGTTGCTCCGATCACCAATTCAAACTATCACCAATTCAAAATATAAAAACAAGTATAACCGAGTTTTTTTTAAATCATTTGCATAATGATAAACTTGAGAATGTCTCATTACCGCCGCAAACAGACTTTAGACTTTATAGACCCATACTAAACACAAATGTCGTAACTGACATTACTTAGTCTTTTTTAAATTATTAGAAATGTAAAATACTTAATTATATATAATTTTAAAAATTAAACTTTAAGTATATACTAACATAATTTTTTGTTGTAAAACTTTTAAAATGAATTACAAATTATATCTTATAACTTCCATAGAGATAACGATAAAATATTTTATATCTTTTTAACGACTTTCAGTGTTAAATTGTTGATAATTATTCGAACATTGCTAATTTACAGGTGAGACATTTTTTCACCGGTGATTCTTCATATTTTTGGCAGTTAATCGTGAAACGTGAAACTCAGGGTATTCATTTATATAACGAATTTGTTAACTTTGTGCTAAATATTTTTAATTAACAAAAAAAAATTTTCTTTAAATATAAAAAACAAAAAAAAAATTTAAATATAAAATTTTATTAAAAAATAAACACTAAGTAAAAGTTCTAGACTCTAGATTTAATGTATAGAGCAAATGATTAATACATATTATAGCTTATAGCTTATGACCTAACGTCACGAGCGTACCAAATATTTGAGAATTAATTATTAAACTGTTTTATGTTAACAAAAGTAGAGTATTTATAAACACGATTCTCTAAATTGATTACTATAAAAATGTAAATAATTAAATTTTTGTATTTTAATTAAATCAAAAAACTGCAAAACTTTCGTAAAAAAATAAGGTAAAAATTATTATATTTATATGGTAAAAATAAAAGGCTAGTACGAAACTATTTTGCAAGATTTGAGTCGTATAGCTATGATGGCTAACTTAAGCCTATAAAATCAAAATCAGTCCATTGATTAATGCAAACTGTCGAATAGCAGATTGTGAAATCGCTGTGCGATTTATTTACGGAATTTGACCATTAATGATTACGTGCAATTTTGGTTTAAATCCAAAACTTGATATAAAGGCTCTATATGTTCTTACAAACAAAATTTGTTTTTTAATGATTTGATTTTCGAGAGGTAAAAAATGATACATTCTGAGACTACTCATCAATGGAAACGAGAAATGTATTATTTAGAACAATGCTATATACAAGAAATCAGTAAAAAAAATGAACTAGCATTAAGCACTTCAAAACTCCATATTTAAAAATAATTAATATTGCCTTATAATTCAAACGAATAAGTTTTTAAATGTCCCCGTAAAATACCGTGATAAATTTAAAAATATAATATCAACTAAACAAATTAAATTAAATTAAAGAAAACTATTTTATACCACTAAGTCAATGCGAATTATATTACAAGTTTCCAACCATATCAATTTCTTCTGATCCAGAAGCACCTCCAGATTATCACTTGATTCGATCTACACAAAATTTTTAAGAAGACAAAAATTTTTCTTCCTATTAGCACATTAAAAACAACTAGAATTAGTTTTCGGTTACCGAAAAAAGATTAAAAGTGTTATGAGTATAAAATCAAGGCACTATTAGATTGCCAAAAAGTACTAGGATAAAATAGAGAATTTATAATTTAACGATGTATACATATCATATAAGAAACTCGTTTTTTATATTCACCAAAAACTTGAACTGAGTTTGCAAACAAACTATAATATGTTATATATATTATATTATTATATTATATTATATTATAATATGTTATATATTATATTATTACAGTAATATATTATTTATTATCCGAATTTGTAAGCAAAGTGTCTGGCATGCATCCCAAATAATACGCAAAAGAATTCAAAATTACGTACCAATTTAAAAACAAATTATATGAAAATTATTTAAGCACTTGATTATGAGAAAACTTTTGTTAAGATGTGTTAGATCAAACCACTAAATGATCTAGCAAATATTAACACTCTAGACAAACTAATTTATGGACATAAAATTATATTATAAGCAGATTATAAGTTAATTGTTAATATTTTTTAATTTATATTTGTT